CCTCGGCCCGGATCCTCAGCTGGCTCAGCAGCGCTCGCAGCCGCCCCTCGGCCGCCCCGGGAGCCTCCCGAGGCCCCAGGCACAGGAAGATGCGGAGGCGGGCACTGTGCCAGGCGGGCACCATGCCCAAGATGGTGGCCATCTGCAGCAGGAAGAGGCCGCAGACATCCACGTAGCCGGGCCCACCCCGGGGCCGCAGCAAGTTGAGGGGCCACACATCCACGTGATGCAACGGGGCGGTGCCCCCGGACCCGCGGCTCAGCCGCTCGGGGGGCAAGGCCCCGCAGCCCCGGGCCAGAACCACGTTCTTGTTCATCTTGAGGGCGTCTGCCACGGTGGCCACGTAGTCCTGGGGGCTGAGCGCCCGGGGACTCCCCGGAGCACGGGGCGGAGGGAACAAGGCGCTCAGGGCCGGCGGCCCGCCCTCCCTGGCGCCGTCCGCAGGCTCGGAGAAAGCTGGGTCCGTCAGGAAGTGGTCCTGCGGCGGCGCGTCGTCGTAGAACCCCAGCACCAGCGTATTGGGCTTCATGCCACCTGGGGGCAGGGGAGGCAGAGGGGACAGACAGGAGTCAGGCTTACCCCACTCACGGGCACCCACTTGTAGACGCTGGAAGCTGTGTCAGCCATGAGGTATGACACCCCCCCGTGCTCAGGCTCTTATGGCAACATTAGGCACGTTTGCATGATGACTTTTTTGTTTTCCTAAACACCCTCACATGCATGTGTTCATCTCTGTGAGGAATCTCCTCCACTTAAACGGGCAGGCTTTGCCTTAGATTCTTGGTGCTAACAAGCACTCCTGGTCCGTGGAAAGGACGCTGTTCACACCCAGCTCCAAGCAGCACAGCTTTTTTGTGATGGGAGATGAGAGTTTGACTCCACCAGGCAAACCAGACGCCCTGATCAATCAAGCTCATGGCCTCAATCCCCAGGGTAACAGCCACCCAGACCCTGCTCGGCGAAGATGAGAAAGCAGACCAGGGGGACGAAGCCTGTTTCTCCTGCTGCAAAGCCCTCCCTCTGGCAGCCCATAGCACAGTCCCCAGAGAAGAAACAGCCAAAAGCTGCACATGTCCCAGGGGAAGGGCTTATCCTGTAGAAAGCCCTCTGTTTTTTAAATCATCTGAACCTTAGAGCTATGAGATAGGTACTATTTACTCTCCCCCTTTTACAGATAAGGTGCCTGAGGCACCAAGTGATGAAGCCACTGGCCCACAGGCTGAAGGCTGACAGGTGCCTGGAGCGCAGTCCACCTCCGCCCAGTGCTGGAGGCCTTTTCCGAGCCACAGAGCTGAGTATGTACTGGCCACCACGTCCCAAGTCCTTGCTGACAGATCTTGGTTTTAAATTTTCGAACAATCCATGTGAAACCGGGTAAGTCCACCTTTAACCAGACTTGAGTTTACAGGGAGCCTCGGAGACCTCTTTGAAGACCCTTCTTGTGAAACAAACATTGCTCAAAATCTACCGGTAAATTAAATTCTATATGCCAAGAAAATTTACCATTTAAAGGAAATATTTTCCTTTTTTTTTTTTTGAGTTGGAGTTTCACTCTGTTGCCCAGACTGGAGTGCAGTGGCCACTCCAGCCACTGTAGCCTCCACCTGCTGGGCTCCGGCAATCCTGCCGCCTCAGCCTTCCAAGTAGCTGGAACTAGAGGTGTGTGCTACCACGCCTGGCTAATTTTTGATTTATTGTAGAGATGAGGTCTCGCCAAGTTGCCCAGGTGGGTCTCGAACCCGCAGGCTCAGGTAGTCCACTCACCTCAGCCTCCCAAAGCACGGGATTACAGGCTGAGCCACCGAGCCCGGCTAGTATTTTCCTTTTTAGTGGAATTACCTTCCACAGGGTAAACTTCATGAACACAGCAGTTTCTGCACAAAAAGGTGGGGCTGAGGGAAGACCAGGTTCTCAGATGCCCCAAGGGCCGACAATGCTTGATGGCACCCTAGAACATCTCAGCAGGTGTGAACTCCGGCTGATCTTGAAAGTTAAACCAGTCACAATCCCTCCTGAGCATTTTCCAGGGTTGCGATTTACACTGAACCGGGCAATGTCCAACACTGCTGAACATTAGCCAGACTCTAAATGGAGAAGGAGGCATGGATTCGGGTGACAGACACTGTCCCGGTTTAAGGGAGGAAGAGGTGGCTGAGCATGGATGTGGAGGACCCTGGAGGCCTCAGCGCTGAGAGCTGGGAATCCACCGCTCCATCCACAGGCATTGGCCAGTGCACCCTCCGGCTTCCTTTGCGGCCTCTGGGGGTGCCGTGACACTCCCTGCTTCTCGACCCCTTTAAAGGCCTGGCCGAGTTACCATCTCTCCACAAAACCCTTGCTGGCCACAGCAGAGCATAGCTTCCTTTCTCTGAACTCTGGTGGTCAGAAACCCTCTGATCCTATGGGGCAGCTGGAGACTCAAATAATGCTCCCATTGTCTCCAGAAATACACTCTTCTGAGCCCGAGCCCCGATATGCGGCTCAGAAAAAAAGAAGGGAAAAAACCACCACAGTGTCACCCCACTGCCAGTCCTCAATATCTCCTATTAGACCTTATCTCTCACTGCCTGTGGCTGTTAATCTTTGCTCTCTGACTTATCTACACTTAATCTAAAGGCCCTTATACCATTTGCAATCTGTGGTTGGCTCTCTAGGGAAGATTCGAAGGAACCACCGAGGGGAGGAGAGCCCAGGGAGGAGCTGCTCACCCAGGCCCGAGATTCGCAGCAGATGCTGAGCCCCCTGGCGCACGGAGGGCGAGAGGGTTAGGTCCACAAAGGCCTTCACCTGGGCTCGGTCCACCAGGCTCAGCCACGCCCCATACTGCGGCTGCACAGGGTCTGAGGGCAGGGAGTCTGCAGAGGTGAGCAAAGGAAGGCAGCCGATGTGGGCCAAGCACGCTCACTTACTCTAGAGTCCAAGTCTCAGACGGGCCGGGGAGGGCTGTGGCTGGTTGGAACGGCCATTGGGAAGAAGCACGAAGCGGCCCAGCTGGATGGGGAGAGGCAGGGTGGGAGCCAGCGGGAGGGCAGCTCACCAAGGTCGCCCAGGGTTACGTGGCCCAGCACGTAGAGTCCCCCCTTCTTGAGCTGATTGGCCAACCGCAGCAGAGGCAGGGCGCCCCGGGGGTTCCCCACCAGGAGCAGCAGCTGGGGTCGCCAGAACTTCACGTGATCCTTCCGGACATCCAGCCGGAGCAGGTACTTACGCACCTGGGGACAGGGAGGCCGCGGTGGTGGGGAGGCAGGGCTCGACGGGCAGTCCCGTTAGAGTTAGGGGAAACACCCGCCCAGTCCAGGGGAGCCGAGGCCGGCCTCCTCGGCGGGCGCTCTCCCAGACTGGCCTCCCCACTCCGCACTGTCCTCCAGGCCCCCACCTGGTGAAAGAGCAGGGCCTGGCTGACGTAGCCCCAGCTGCTGGGGCCTCCCCGCGCCGTGAGCAGGGCGGAGAGCAGGCCCATGAGGAGCAGGGAGCCGCCGGCGGCGCCAGGGCTGATGAGGAACATCATGAGCAGGCAGGAGGCCACCCCCAGCAGGCAGGTGTGCCAGGAGAACAGGCTGAAGGTGGGGCTGCGGGGGAGGGGCGGGGACTGAAGCTCAGGCCAGCCGACTGCCCCCTGCTTTGGTCCCCGCCCCGCCTCGCCAGGGCCCTTCCCGTCCGCCCTCCGCCCCTCCAGGGGCACAGGCTCTTCATCCCTCACCGGAAGTTGGGGGCCGAGGCCCACTCCAGGCTCAGGCAGGACAGGTCCACTGCGGCGTAGGCCACCAGGTAGAAGACAGTGACCACGGCAGCCAGCGTGTTCAGCTTCCCAGCCAGGAGCACCAGCTGGGCAGGGACCAAGAGGCTGAGCGTGGATCCAGAGAGCCCGCCCCCCACAAGCGCAAACGCATCTGCCTTTGCATCCACGTCTCCCGACCCGAGTCTAATGCCCCGATCCTGCCAGCTGGTGGGGCGAGGGGAAGGGGCCCTTGAGGAGGAAGGCTCACCTGCACCAGGCCCCAGGAATACAGTACAGCCCCCCAGGGGTTTCCCCCTCGGGATACAACCTTGGCTGGAGCCAAGATCACTCCTGCAAAAACAGAGTCGCCGCACACGCCTCAGCCTGGGCCCAGCAGGAACCAAGACAGACGAGGCAGGGTATGCTTGGCGGCGGCGAGGCGGCAGAGGAGAACGCACCAAAGAGGTCATCCCGGGCCAGGGCATGGAGGATGCGCGAGGCGCCAATGAGCGAGCTCATGGACGCCGAGAGCGCCGTGGCATAGATGCCAATCAACACCAGCGGGGGCCACAGGCTGATGGCTCGAAAGAACCCGTAGTCTTTCTGCAGCAAGGTCCTAGAAGGGAGGGAAACGGAGGACACCGATGATCATCCACTGTAGGGTCCTTGGGAGAAAAGCGTTCACAGCACTCTGTGATCCCAGCCCTGAGCTGAAGGATCAGTCAGATACCAAAAGCGCTAATGAGACAGACTTGGTATTCAGTGGGTATCGTTGGGCAGCCTTGGGATCACCAGTGGCCGCTCTCAACAGCAGACACACGAGCCCAGAGAGATACAGAAATGCAACTTGACGAGAGAGTCATTCCCCAACGGAATGCCTACAGCCGCACCAGGTCCGTGGCAGCCACTGTCCAGTCTGGCGATCCCGGATGTCCCCTCCACCCCAACCACCTGGGCACCTGCTCCCCAGCTTGTGCACCCCTTGGTGACCCAGGACCACCAGCCTTGTCCTGACACCCCGCCCCGGCCCTCCCCAGGCACCTGTCGCAGGTGAAGCTGGAGAGGAAGAAAAGCAGGACGTAGACAAAGAGGGTATAGGCGACAGCAACAATTGTCCCTAGAGGAATCGCACGGCTGGGGTCCTTCAGCTCCCCTAGAAGGTGGGGGGCAGAGGAGCGAGGTCAGCCCTCTCACTGTCCCCCTATGCTCCTCAGGGCGGCAGCCTCACACCCCCAGGAGGCTGCAGGGGGAGTCTCACCGGACATGTTGGCCCCGGCCATGATGCCTGTGCAGCCGTTGAAAAGGACTGCAAAGACGCTGGCAAATGTCATCATGGCGCCCGTGGTGTAGTCCTCGGCATAGCCAGCTGGGGGGGTTCCCAGGGGGAAGAGGAAGTCAGTGTGCTCTCCTCGGGCTCCGTGACCCCCCGCCTCCCGCACCAAGACCCCAGCCGGACCCTGCACCGGCCTTGGGTCAGCCGGACTCAGGGCCACCTCATTCCTCAAGCTGCTGTTCTGCCACCATGCCCCGATCCACGCTTTTCCTTGAGATGCTCCCCCACACCCCGCTTTCTGCTCCTGTCTGAACCCCCCCACCCCTCTCAGGCCACCTCCGGCTCCCCCTGCTCCCCCCAGACCAGAGTCAGCCTCCTTCCTCTCCACTCCTGGGGCAAGCCCTGTCTGCTCGGGTCAGGCTCCTCTTACAGTGCCATTTAATCGTTTCCTGAAGCACAGCTCTCTCCGCCTGGAACACGAGCTCCTCTCAGGCAGAGACTGCCTTATGGGCTCTCTTTTATTTTTCTTGAGTTGGAGTCTCACTCTGTCGCCCAGACTGGAGTACAGTGGCTGCTCCCGGCCACCGCAGTCTCAACCTGCTGGGCTCCGGTAATCTTTCCGCCTCAGCCTTCCAAGTAGCTGGAACTACAGGCATGCACTACCATGCCCAGCTAATTTTTGATTTTATTGTAGAGACGAGGTCTTGCCAAGTTGCCCAGGTGGGTCTCAAACCCACAGGCTCAGGCAGTCCACTCACCCCGGCCTCCCAAAGCACTGGGATTACAGGCTGAGCCACTGAGCCCGGCTCTCATGGGCTCTCTTATGCCCCATGGGCCAAACACACGCCAGACAGACGCAACTCGTACCGCACAACTCTGAGGTCCAGACCTCCTGCCCCCTGATTCTGACACCTGTGCTCATCCGGGAATCCTGAGGGCCTAAGCCCCACCCAGGCCCGCCACCACCCCGAGAACCCTTGGCCTAGCTTACCACCCAAGTTGTCCTTCAGGGTGCTGCTGTTGAAGCCGGTGAAGTGGCCAAACTGGGGCGGCAGGGAGGAGCCGTTGGGGCCCGGCCGTGGGGTCAAGGGGATATCCCTGGGCCCCACGGCCACAAAGCTGATCAGCACGGAGGCCAGGGAGCCAGAGACCAACAGGAACGTAAGGAAGGAAGCACGGGCGTAGAGGCCAGCTCCCAAGGTGCACACCCCTCCCACAAGGCCCAGCAGCAGGGAGCCGTAGAGCAGGCTCCAGCCATAGCCCTGGGGCAGGACCCGGAGCCCACTGGGCCCTGTGGCATCTGGAGAGAGGCAGGAACCGAGTTAGAAGGTCTGACCCCAAGGAGGACTCCAGCCCCAACCGTGGCCCAAAGTAGGATGAGACCCCTCTGCCCACCTGCTGTCCGGGGGCCCACCTTCCCCACCTTCCTCTCATCTCAACCCCAGCTGCCAGCGCTCCCTGGTGGTCTCTGTCAATTTTGGGGAAACAGCCCTGGTCTTGCGACTGGATGGTAAGCTCCCTGAGGGCAAGGACAATCTCAGGGATGTCTACATCTCCTGCCAGAGGCTGGCCACACAGCAGGAGCTCCGGAAAGCCAAGCTAGTGGCTCATTTCGCCCCTCTCCTGGAGAAGACGTTCTCCCTCACGAGCCCACGCCCCCGGACCCTGCACACCCACAGGGAGAGTGCGCACAGACCAGCCCCGAAGACGTCGAGCACAGCCTCCACCAGCCCGAGCAGGGAGACGGCACAGCCACAGACGTTAGCCAGGTAGAACATGAGGCCGATGCTGCCCCCGACCTCAGGCCCCAGCGTCCTGCTGATCATGACTAAAAGTGGAAGCAAGGGCGAGCGTTAAGGGAAAAGAAACCGAAATGGGCATGAGGGAGGAGCCACAGCACAAAGCACTCTGCAGCTGGGTCCCCGGCCTCATCTCCCCGCACAGGCCGGGACCCTTCCCCGCCACAGTGGGTCCCAGCGTCGGAAGATCCCATCTTTGTGGCGCAAGTGGCCTCAATGCAAAACGATCCTAACCAAGGGTCAGATCGTTAGGAGACTAGAAAGCAGCCCTAACAAGTCGGGCAACGTCGGCCCCCTTCCCCATGTCCGCCTACCTGGGGGATGGTCATTCAAACGTGCCCTCCCTGGGAGACAAACCAGCCCAGCCCCCAGTCCACAGAGGCAGGATACAGTAGGCTCCACCCCCTTGCACGGCTCCGTTGGTGGCAATGGCACAGACAGAGAGGACGGTGAGCGCCAGGATGAAATAGGCAACCAGGAGCATGGCCAAGGCCTGCAGCAGTCCCGCGTGGCCCACCACAAACCCTGGGACGGAAGCAGAAAATCAGGTCACGGGGGACCCACGCCCCTGCCCCTCACCTCCCACTCCGCTGGTCAGCAGCAGAGCTCCAGGGCAAAGGCAAGCCAGGGCCCGCGGGGAGCCCCTCCCAAGCCCTCATCCACCCATTTCTCCCAGCACCCCCAAATGTCCTCCCAGTCCCACCCCCTCCCCCGTCACTCCCCCCCTCGGTCAGTCCCCACCCGGCCACTCACCAATCCTCAGGAAGACAACTATACTGAACATGGAGAGGACGGTGGGCACCACCACCCCCAAGAAGGTGGAGAGCTTCCGGGCAGACGCCCCTCCAGGACCCCCGGCCCCGTTAACGGGGAAGGCGGCCCCCTCCTCCCCCAGGAGCCGGTAGGCCAGCAGGGGTGAGCTCTCGCTGGCCATGGCTGAGCACGGGAAGAGGAAGCCACGAATGGGCTAGGTGACCTGCAAAACAGATGATGCTCTTCGGAAAGCAGCTCCACCGAGCCTGCCCCCCAAAACCGCTCTAACCAAACACCCAGAAACCTCCCCGAAAGGAAAAACCGCAAGAAACACACCCGCCGCTCACCAGCAACTCCACAGAGCCAGGGGGCTGGGACGGTCCTCGCCACTGCCCCACCAGGTGGACCCCAAACCCCTCGGCGGGGTGCGTGTCAGGGTCCCTCCCAGCTCCTGGAGGTCGCCCCTTCCCCCGTGGCCCTGAGACCGGATGGCACTGGCTCTGGAAAGGGGCCGCTCAAGTTCCTGCAGCCTCTCCCGAGCCAGCGACACGAGAGGAAGCAAATCTCCCCGAAGGGAAGGAAGCTGCGGGCAGGCGGTCCTCACCTCCGCC